CATGGTTTTGTCCTCGGTAACACTCCACAGAGATACGCGAGTGGAGGATAGTCATTTGATCTTTCAGTATTATTACTAGTAAATTTGTTAATCCTATAATTGGAGACATGTCCTTGGTGAACACTCCATAGAGATACGCGAGTGGAGGACCGCCTTTATAACCAGAATCTCTTAGATAGGGAGCGTGACTTGAGTATATAGATCTATACGGGGCTGACTACCCCGCACCTGGCTGCTAGCTACAGCCGAACCGAAAGGTTCAAGGGTGACGAAAGTCATATAGGGTAATGGACTATTTATTGCCCTAATTAGTCTATTGTATGGTTATGGAACTCACAATTGGGATAACAAAGATTTACTTTATAGTAATAATGGGTTTAGTAACTAGTTTACTTGGTATTTATTAGTTTTATAAACGTGTTAAAACTAATACATTTTCAGTGTACATCTTTTACTTTACATTTCGGGTTGGTAAACTAACACGTACTTTACAAGGATAACCAGGTTTTCAGTATACATCTTTCACATTAGGAAAATATGAGACTTTCCTGGGATCATAGTTAAACATAACCAAAACCATGTAACCTAACAATTAACCAAACATTACTTTTAAGAAAATATGGGATTTTCTTGGGTCGTAACATTTTCAGAAACCAAAAGGAAACTCGTACATTTTCACAAAACAAAACCGCTTATGATCTCACTAGCTTTATGCTGATTTTTAAAACGCTTGTATTCTCAGGTCCGCATTAGACAGGTACCCAATGATTCCTTTTTGATGAAGACGGAGTGCGTTGAAGACACGTCTTGCTTTTATTTATATATACATATGTATAACACTGTACAACTTTACTTTTGATCAAATGTAAATTTCTATATGTAATGTAATGGTTGTTTACTTTACTTACTATGTGCATTGGATTTGATACTTAACGTGGAGTCCGCCCCGGAAATGTTTCTGCTTTGGTTTTCGGGGTGTGACATCTTCCAACTAAGCTTTTGGGTAATGTGACACCTCTTCAAATATTATACCAAAGGGTGCCTTCGTATTTTCACATTCGAGTTTTTGGATGTTTGTTTTATCCTCTAATCCCATCTACCACTATAAATAAATTGCAACCAAGATCCATTCCATGCGTATTTTTGGGTTATCCTTCAAATCATCATGGATATAAATGTTATGATATGTCTTCAAATAAAATTATTATTTGTCGACATGTTTTATTTGATGAGAATGTGTTTCCATTTGCAAAACTAAATACTACTTCTTCTTCCACGTATGATTTTTTATGTGATGATATTTCACCATATACAATACATCACATGCAAAACCTCGTGCTTCTAATGAGCCACAAATAACCCAACAAAATTCAGCCCACCAAGATTCTCATTCCTCACCATCCAATCAAAATAGCCCATCTTCACAATTAAATAACGAACCACAAAATCATGACCCACTTCCAACAAGTCCACCTGTTTCACCTACTCCTAATACATCATCTCATGCAATAAACAATCATTCTTTTCCTATTCCACGTCCTACAATGGTTACAAGAAGCCAAAGGGGTGTTTTTAAGCCAAACAAAAAAATATCATAATCACGCTTTGGTTGCCACTGTGTCTTGCTCACCCTTACCCTGTAACCCAGTTGCAGCCCTTCGTGATCCGAATTGGAAAATGGCCATGGATGATGAATATGATGCTCTTATTAATAATAAGACGTGGGATTTAGTACCTCGCCCACCGAATGTTAATGTTACTCGTTCTATGTGGATTTTTACTTATAAAGAAAAATCTAATGGTGTGTTTGAGAGGCATAAAGCCCGACTTGTAGGTGATGGGAAAACTTAGCAAGTTGTCGTCGATTGTGGAGAAACATTTAGCCTGATAGTAAAACCTGCTACGATATGTACGGTTCTTTCTCTTTCGTTATCTAAAGCATGGCCCATTCATCAGCAGGATGTAAAAAATGTGTTTCTTCATGGTGAGTTACAAGAAACTGTATATATGCATCAACCATTGGGTTACAGGGATCAGAATCATCCAGATTATGTTTGTCTTTTACGTAAGTCCTTATATGGGCTTAAGCAGGCTCCCCGCGCATGGTATAAGCGATTTGCAGATTATGTTCTTTCTCTTGGTTTCACTAATAGCAAATGTGATAACTCTTTATTTATCTATCGCAACGGCTATGACATGGCTTATATCTTATTATACGTGGATGACATTATTCTCACGGCTTCGTCTGATGGTCTCCAGTTATCTATCATGGCTTTTCTTAGCTCGGAATTTGCCATGAAAGATCTTGGGCCTTTAAATTACTTTCTTGGCATTTCTGTATCTCGACATAAGGAGGGTATGTTTCTTTCACAACGCAAGTATGTCGAACACATAATTGAGCGGGCAGGCATGTCTTCTTGCAAGCCTTCTCCTACACCCGTTGACACAAAACAAAAAGTTAGTGCTACTTCAAGTACCCGTTTTGAGGATCCTACGTTATATAGAAGTCTTGTCGGGGCACTGCAATATCTTACGTTCACCCGTCCTGATATATCTTACGCGGTTCAACAAAGGTGTTTACATATGCATGATCCGATAGTTAATCATATGCAAGCTCTCAAGCACATAATCCGGTATATTCAAGGCACTATAAATCATGGTCTCCATCTCTTTGCATCTTCGGTTTCATCTCTAGTTTCTTATACGGATGCAGATTGGGGTGGGTGTCCGGATACACGACGGTCTACGTCCGGATATTGTGTATTTTTGGGTGATAATTTAGTGTCATGGTCATCTAAGCGACAACCTACTCTTTCACGATCAAGTGCCGAAGCCGAATATAGGGGTGTTGCTAATGTCATATCAGAATCATGTTGGTTACGCAATTTGTTGTTGGAATTGCATTGTCCAATTAAACAGGCTACACTTGTTTATTGTGACAATGTGAGTGCAATATTATTTATCGGGAAATCCGGTACAACATCAATGTACTAAACATATTGAGATGGATATTCATTTTGTACGGGAAAAAGTTCCTCTTGGTCAAGTTCGTGTTCGTCATGTAACTTCCTGATATCAAATTGTGGATATCTTTACCAAGGGACTTCCGCTTGTTCTTTTTGACGAGTTTCGAGATAGTCTTAGCGTCCGCGAGTCTCTCGTTTTGACTGCACGGGTGTGTTAAATATATGTTTTATATATTGTTTTTGTAAATTAGCTTAGTCAATATTCAATTCCTTGAAGTAAGGATTGATGCCTTTCTATTAGGCAAATTACAAGGCAAATTACATGCTTCTTATCTATATATTGAGAACAATGAGAATGAAATCTTTGAGGAAAATATTTTATTAGTTAATAGAAATATACATGTAAAGGAAAAATGATCATTTTATAATCTTTGCACTTTACTTTAAATTGCATAACTACCAAATTCTGCCTGAACATTAGGGTCCAAAAATTGAACCAAAATATGAAAACTTGCCTTTGGTATAAATATTTGTCCATAAAAAGTTATACAATTTATGATGTTATTCTCAACATCATATGACTAGAACCCATTTCCAGGGAAGACCCTAATTTTAGTAAATTATTAAATTTATAAATATATAATCCGTAATGGGTTGCAATATATTCTTCGTGTTGGTTTATGACTTTTGATCTATTTATTTTGTTAGTTGGTTCTATGGATTTAGATTTATTTTCATATTTGATCAAAATTTTGTGTTGGTTATAAAATAGTTTTAAAGAATAAAAAAACAGTTCTAAAAAACATTGTAAAAAAGGTTAAAAACATTATTAAAAAGTCGTAAAGTGTAGTAAAATATTTGTAAAAGAAGATTAAAAAGATTGTACAATAAGTTTAAAAAAGGTTGTAGCTTTTTTCACAAAAAATTAAAAAAAAGTTGTAGAAATTATTAGAAAAAGGTTAATTTGTAAATTAAAAAAAAAAAAAAAAGTGAAATTTAAACCTTGATTTATGATGTAAACTTTTTATATGTACATATTTAATCACTTATGCTTTATGTACATATGCATATGAACACTAAACCTTTAATAACCATATATATAAAATTTATTACCTTTATAAGTCATTAACCAACCATATAATGATACCAAATGTTTTTATTTACAGTAGACCTAAAAAAAAACCTTCCTTGTACTTGAAAATTGTTATCATTCTACCATTGGCTGAGACAGTTACTCATGTTTCATAGCTAGTATCCATTAACCATTATCTATGTTAACCAGTAAGTATTAACAAGTTTGGATTCCAAATGTGTTAACTACCAGATACAAGCCAATCTAGTCCCATTGCCAAGTTAATCTAAATGCCCAATGGACCAGATGAGTTACGATACACATTCATTAAAAAATCGATGTGAGAAATTTAGAATCCAAATTACAAATTCCACCATAGATCATGAAAAGACGTTAGTACCTCACTTTCACTTGCTCTTTGATTTTCTTGGAAACCATATACACAAAGCCACATCCATAATTTGAAACTAATTTATTAGTACATCTAAACTCTAAACAATATTCAAGTAAGCACCAAATAAACCATATTCATTTTCAGATGATGATAAGACTCAAACCATATAAGGGCCGAAAAACAAAAGGGAACGTGCATTGTCGAAATTGAAGATATTTGAGAAAAACATACATGACAAAGGTGTGGTAATATGATAATATATTATGCTGCCTATGAAGAAAACTTGGGCCCCTTAATCTTTTTGGGCCCTGTGCTTTGACTGCACAGGCTGAAGTCTAAACTCGTCCATGGCTGGGCCTTTCCATTTCCTGATAATTTAGTAGTATTTTGATTTTTAAAATCCCAACTCGTAAGTTTCTAGGAAAATTCAAAAACAAGATATGTATTATTTATCAAAAGTTGTTGTTGACTTGGACGTTCTTTATACAAACCACTACTTGTGCATCCATTACTCTTAATCTGATTGTAGATCCATTCTCAAATCATTGATACCTTCAGCCAACTAATAATGGTTATTCTCTCTGATACTGAAGGAGGATCATCATCATCTTCTTCACCGGTTGATGGGCATATGTATGACGTACTTTTAACCTTTAATGGTATTGATAGTCGTTATAGTTTCCCTGATCACCTTTATAAGGCCCTTTTGGCTGCTAAAATCACTACCCGTTTTGATAATAAACAGTTCCAGATAGGGGCAAGATTGAAACTAGAATCAGAGACTCTGACTAAAACATATAGGGTTTCTCTTATCTTGTTGTCGAAGAATTATGCTAATTCCAGATGGTGCCTTGAGGAATTGGTGCTGATCCTGGAGCAATGTTCGACATCAAACCATACTGTTCTCCCAATCTATTATTATGTTGAGCCCAGCGATGTCAGGGAGCAACAAGGTAGCTTCGGAGATGCCATGGCCAGGTATAGACGAGATGGAGGGCGAGACAGATGCAAATAAAAAAAGTCAATTGGCTGAAAAGATTGAGCAATGTTCTCCCTACGTATTTCAATAGGTTTGTTTTCTTCAACATCTTTAATTAATAGATACATTTTTAGTGTAATTAATGTTCTTCCTACGTATTTCGACAAAACTGCAAAAATGGTCCCTGTGGTTTCTCATTTTATATGATTACGGTCCAAACGTTTGAAAAGTTGCAGATTTGGTCCTTTTCAACAAGTTTGTTGTGGTTTTGGTCCCTTATCCGTTAAGATCCTTAAAATGACAATTTTACCCTCAGGGACCATTTTCACAGTTTTGTCTTTTACTATACTATAAGGACCATTTTTGCATATATTCTTTTTTATTTTAATAAAGTATTATATATTAATAGATATTTTTTTTAATACATAATATTATATATTATTAAATATTTTTTATTGCATTATTAATTTATTTTAGTTGATTTAAAAAAAAATTGTTGGAATAATTCTTTTTTATTAAATATTATATATCAATACATATAGTTTTTAATATATAATATTTACATCATAATAAATATTATATTATTGGATTATTAATTTTTTTTAGTTAATTTTTGTAATTTGTAACTATTTTTTATTGTATTATTACTTTTAATTTATTATTTTCTTCATATATTAAATGTAGTTTTATTGGATAATTAATTTATTTTAGTTAGTTATTTTTTTAAAATTTTTCTATCAAAGTAATTCTTTTTTATTGAATTATTATATATCAGTATATATAGTTTTTAATATATAATATTTATATCATAATAAATATTACACTATGGGATTATTACATATTACAAAACATTATTTTATTGGATTATTAATTTCTTTTAGTTGACTCTTTTTATAATTTCTTGTTGTTGGAGCAATTCTTTTTTATTAGATTATTATATATCAATAAATATTATTTTTTATATATAATATTTACATCATAGTAAATAATACATTATTGGATTATTAATTTTTGTAATTTGTTTTTTTGAATTATTAATTTATTGAAATATTACTTTTAATTTATTATTTTTTTAATATAAATATTATCTTATTGGATTGTTATTTTATTTTGAATGTATACTATTAATTGTTTTTAATTTTATTAGTTTCACCACAAAGTAGTCGAAATACGTAAAAGCGTCGCTTATCATCGTCAAAAATTAGTAGGATCTAGGGTTGTTCAGTATTTGGATAAAACCAAATTGTCCAATTGGACCATTCGGATTGGACTATATTGTTCAGATATTTGGATTTTTGGATTGGTTTTCGACAAAACCAAATTATTATTCTGGATTTCGGATTGATTATGGTTTATAAAATAAAAACCGAATAGTCCAAAAAAACCGAATAACATTTTATTATTTATTTATTTTTAATATATATATCTATAAGTATTTATTAATTTTGTAATTTATTTTTTGAAATATGTTCAAAAAGTTTCACCTAATAAAATATATTAATATGCATTTTCTCTCAAAAGTTTTTTATCTATAAAATATTAAAATATAATATAGCTTCTTAATAGTTATTTATAAATTTCAAATCGTAACTAAATAATTTGTTTTTGCTTCTTGTGTGTAAAATTCATTAATATTATAACTATGTCATTTTAAAATGTTTTAGTTTTTAAAAACCGAATTATAAAAACCGATCAAACCGAATTGTAATTGGATCGGATCGGATCTGATTTGAATTTACTTTGGACTATTCGGATCCATGTTTTGAAAACCGAAATCAATTTGGATTCACTTGATTAGATTGAATCAAACCGATCCATCCAAACGAACACCCCTAGTAGGATCACCTCCAAACACCTTCATCAGAGGTTCAATAGATACCATACCCTATTCCACCCAGCGTTGTTGGTAGCTACCTGCAACAACCTCTTCATAATCCATTGGAATCCTTCATATCTCACATAATGCGTAACAAACCTTGATAACATTCATAAGTAGTGATGGTGACAGAGTGATGGTGGTGGTATTTTCCCAATGGTTTCTCATTGTAAGCTAGATGACATGAAAGTGTTCGACAACGATGATAACGATTTCGATGATGAGAGACGATGATTTTGCATATTCCATGACTTTGTGGTGGAACCAATAAAATTAACAAGAACTATTACTATAATCCGATAAAATAATATTTAGTATATGAAGAAAATAATAAATTAAAAGTAATAATCCAATAAAAAATAATTAAAAAAAATAAATAAATTATAAAAATTAACTAAAAGATAATAATAATCCAATAATATAATATTTATTATGATATAAATATTAAATTTAAAAACTATGTGTATTGATATATAATAATTCAATAAAAAATAATTACTTCGACAATTTTTTTTTAAAAAAAGCATTAACTAAAATAAATTAATAATCCAATAAAACAATATTTAGTATATGAAGAAAATAATAAATTAAAAGAAGTAATCCAATAAAAATAATTTAAAAAAAAATAAAAAAAATTAACTAAAAGAAATTAGTAATCCAATAATATAATATTTATTATGATATAAATATTATATATTAAAAACTATATGTATTGATATATAATAACTCAATAAAAAGAATTACTCTAACAAAATTTTTTTAAAAAATATCAACTATAATAAATTAATAGTCCAATAAAACAATATTTATTAATATATAATATTATATATTAAAAAATAATATCCATTGATATATAATACTTTAATAAAATAAAAAAGAATTTATGCAAAATGGTCCTTATGGTATGGTGAAAGACAAAACTGCGAAAATGATCCCTGAGGGTAAAATTGTCATTTTAAAAAAGTTAACAGCCAACCAGTTAAATTTAACGGATGAAGGACCAAAATCACAATAAAACTTGTTGAAAATGACCAAATCTGCAACTTTTCAAACGTTTGAACAATAACCACAAAAAATAAGAAACCACAGGGACCATTTTTGCAATTTTGTCACGTATTTCAGTAGGTTTCTTATGTGATCTTATAAATTAGATCACATATTGATGGATATACAGTTTCTTTTAAAAACAAAATTTCAAAAGGTTTGCTATTTCGTGACCCGAGAGAATTCTCTCCACAGTCCACTACCTCTAGCCACTCGGATGATGGTTTTTGATGGCTCTTGGTTTATAATACATAAACATTATGACCTTGAACATTAGATAATCATTGGTTAGAAGTGAAAATATTATACGGTGCGGATGTGAAAAACTAAATTAAACAAGTAGCTTATATGATTTAATTTTTATTTGGCTGGTTGGATAAATTAAACCTGCAAAACTGGTATGTTAGTTTTCTGGATTGTGTTTTGTGATTCTTACTAAATTAAGTCTTAGGCTAAAGGCGGAGATTATTCAAGACATTGTTAGGGATGTCAACCATATATTACGCAGATCCATAAGAAGTCCTCTGCCTCTAGACCTGAGGTTTCATCCTAAGGTTAGTTTCTGAAATTAGGTATATAGATATGTTTGATACAGATTAGTTCAATATTAAATAGTCAAGGTCATGTATCATATCTCAGATGGAGCAGCCAAACCACCATGAAATCCCCCTCCAGGCCATAAAAAATTGTACCGAAGATTTCAACAAAAGAAACTTCATCGGGAGGGGTGGATATGGAAGTGTCTATAAGGGAATCCTCACCTGGGGGTATCATGTAAACAAGCCAGTTGTTGTAAAACGGCTACATGTCACTAGGGGTGAAGGTAACAAGGGGTTCCAGCAGGGGCGGACGCAGGATTTCATAGTAGGGGTTGCACGGGAAGATTAGGGATTGTACGATAGTAGAAAAAATAAAAATTTTAAAAAATTTCGAAAATTTTTCCACTGCGGCCGAAAATTTAGGGGTTGCCGGTGCCACCCCGGAACCCCCCTAAATCCGCCCCTGGGTTCCAGACTGTGCTGAAAATGCTTTCATAGTATCAGCACGAGAACATTGTAACCCTTATAGGGTTTTGTGATATTAATGACAAGATGATCCTCGTTTATGAATACGCAATCCATGGAAGCCTCGACACACATTTACATAACCCTTCAGCTGGACTTTCATGGCCACAACTCCTCAATATATGCATTGACGTTGCTTCTGCATTGGATTATCTTCATAATCACGTGGCAGAAAAACATAGAATAATACATCGTGATATAAAAAGCGCGAATATTTTGTTAGACGACAATTGGAATGCAAAACTTGCGGATTTTGGGCTCGCTACAATAGGTCTAACAAATCAACAAAACACCTTTGTGATCACTAACCCTGCTGGCATGCCGGGTTATTATGACCCACAATACGAAAGAACAGGTTTATTAACAAAAGAATCAGATGTCTACTCATTTGGAGTAGTTTTGTTTGAAGTTTTGTGTGAAAGGTTGGCTTGTGTTGTAAATTACCATGATGAGCGGCGATTCCTTCCCCATTTGGCCAGAACCTGCTACAAAAATGGAGAGATAAATAAGATTATTGATCCAAGAATAAGGGAAGACATCAACCCAAGAACATTGCTCAAATTTTCAGCTGTTGCTTATCAATGCTTGCAAGAAACTCGGGAAGAACGACCTACAATTGGTGAGGTTGCATTCCAGTATGAACTTCCCTATTATCAAAGTTTTAGTATTAATTGGTTTTTCATCAAATTCATGAATATGGACATATTTTAAGAATGATAAGGTCTAGATATAAATACATAACTCACTGACCCATCATTAATTTGTTCTTTTTAATTGTTGGAAGATGAGATTCTTCGATAAGTTACACCTTTGAGGGAATTGGAATAAGGTGTGGTAGATATCCTAAACAAACGCCATGGAACTCCGTGCTTGATATTCCCCTTGTTGATTTTGTTTTATGTTGTTGGACTATTTTATGATCAGTGACATCGATGTTTTTTTTCATCTTTATCTTTAGTTTATAACGTTTTTTTTTTTTATATTTTTTTATATTTTCCTGTCTTAATGTACAAATTCTGTTTATTTTTTCTTCATTATTCAAATCTATTTTATCTAATAAGAACTATGTAACATGTAGAAACATGACGAGTCTGAAACTCAATGAAATAATTATAATACTGATGGACAAAGCTGTTGGGATTAAGAAGCAACTCAACAAACACAAAATATATATGATTATAAGATGTAAACATTAAACAAGAACACAAGGGTTTAAGTGGTTTATTTGGTCATAGTAATCAAAGTAGTCCATTGTAGAACTAAAGAAAGATTTTATTAGTAAACTTTTCGCATGCTCTACTTTTAGTCTTTTACAATAAGTGCAACTATTTATTGTGTCGTGGTTAGAAGTATCGAAATCTAGCATTGAAGGGGTAATAAAGTTCATTGCTTGGATGCACAAAATATTAAAATAAAAGGAGGTTATGTATTATTAACTAAAACCGGAAATAATTACTAGAATTAAAGTTGCATAAAATTATAATTTATTGAAATTTAATTAATAAAAAGCGAGCTCAGTTCTCAGTACTAGAAAGCACTATGATAATCAAAAGTGTGTGTCACAATAGAATGTCATCTCTTATAAAAATTGAAGGATTTACAACACACGTTTTAACGTGTCCTAAAATTAACCATTGTTTTATAAATTTCTAGGTAGCATGTCTTCCTTAATAGCTAGCGGGAAAAGAAATCTCCAAAAATTAAAAACCCCCCACCTTGTTTCTCTCAACATTTGTTTATATCTTTCATCTTCTATCTTTACAAAATCGACAAGACTTTCGTCTTTACCCACCTCCGACCCTTCTCTTTCATTTTTCTATTTTTTTCCTTTTGTTCTTCGAGGCCAAACAACATATAAGGTTATTCCTTGAACGATCACATGGATTGGGTTTAAAAGGCTTTAGCGGTGACAACAACAATTTGTTACTACTAAAGATGAGATTTCTTGTAGTGTATTAAGCAAACTAATAAAAAATAAATAAATTGTATGGTAAAACAATTGTTAATCTTATCTTTTCTTTTTACTTGATACTCCGATGTCCAACTCGTCATTGAGAATGGTGGTCTCATTGTTTCTTTATGCAAACACAAAACCTAAGTTTTACTTTAGATTTTAATCTTCGAAGTATCCCTTGTTTAGTTCCTTGGAGGATCTAATCTTCTTATTCATCTGGGAGGATCTCATCTTCCGGTTCATCTTGGACAGATCTAATCTTGCAACTAACAATGAATTAAAACAAATGAGATGTCATTAACAAGTGTAATTTTATATAGATAATCTTTTTTCCTCATCTTAAAAACATATCTATATTGATGAAATTGATAAAAATGGTATTCAAACTTACTTCAATTTTCATGGCTTCCTTGAGCTGCAACACAAGCTCATAAATTGTAGGTAGGTCTTCTCAAGTTTCTTCCAAGCATTAATATGCAATGGCTGAAAACTTGAACAACACTTGTCGTTTAGTATCTTTTCTTAGGTGATCAATAATATTGCGTAGCTCTCCATTTTTGTAGCAAGTTTGGGGAAAATGATTGAGGAATTGGCACTCGTCATGGTAACTGGAAGCACGCACCAACCTTACACACAGAACCTCAAACAAAAAACCACACCAAAGGAAAAGATATCTGATTCTTTCGTTAAGAAACCTGTTTTTTCATATTATGGATCATAATAGCCATGTGTGCCGGCAAGGTTAGGGATCACAAATCCGTTCTGCTGATTTGCTAGACCTATCCTAGACAACCCAAAATCAACAAGTTTTCCGTTCCAATTCTCTGCCAACAAAATGTTGGCACTTTTGATATAATGATGTATTAGTCGGTGTGTCTCTGCTATGCGATTGTGAAGATAGTCCAATGCAGAAACAAAATCAATGCATATTTTCAAGAGACATAGCCATAACAGTGTAACTGCCGTTGAAGTGTCACATAAATATATGTTGAAGCTTCCAAGCCTTGCATATTCATATACAAGAATCATCTCCTTGTTATCATCACAAAATCCCCATAAGGGTTATAATGTTATCATGTTGATAATGTGAAAGCATCGTGAGCTCGGTGTGGAACTCCTTATTACCTTGCAACCCAGAGACATCTAGACGTTTTACCGTAACTACCTGGTTTACGTGATCATCCCAGGAAAGGATTCCCTTATATATAGATCCTTCTGTATGCACCTCTCCTGATGACATTTATTTCATTGAAGTCTTGGGTACAACTATTTACGTCCTTGAGGGGGATTTTAGGTTTGTTTGGTTGATTCATCCGGGACATAACACGATTTCTTGAGTTATCCTTTAAACGTTTTACCAGGTCTTGATCTGAACTATCAGGGTCGAGTGAAAGTATACTGCGAGTATACATGTTTGCAACCTGTGTGTGCATTCAATATCTATACACATATACAATTCACTAGATAAAAGCAATCATCAAATGAATCACTTGAAGGAAGAGAGATATCCAACATTTACCTCAACCTAGAACCGTAACTAAAATGATCAAACCCTAATTCAAGTGGTTAAAAAGAACCGAATAAAAATCAAACAGTTTATTAATTAAGTACAAAATAGATAAAATGCGACAGAAACACAACTCAAAAACCAAGCCTAATGATTACACACTAAATTAGTTGTGGCTGTGTGAAACTGAAATCTAAGGGTTTACAACCTAACATGGTTAAAAAAAATCAAAATCATTAAATTAATGTATAATTAATAAATCTGACTAAACAAAAGCAACAAGTCAATCGTGTTCTATGAATCATTGATATTTGTCAAAAATCGCTAGAAATTTGCTGAACGTTCGTGTGTAGTAACTAGGTATTCCTCTAAGGTAAATATGTAGTATTTATAGGAACAATTAACATCCGATAAGTAGTCAGAGATTTACATGACCGTGTAATGGGAAACACGATCATGTTACTTATAAAAATGATTTGCCTATCTAAATAAATGAATTATGTTTCCATTTAAGACCTGAGGTGATTTACACGAGTATGTAAAGCAAAACACGATCGTGTAATATGGTCAAGTAACATCATCAAGGTATGTGCGGGTGATTTTAAGGTCATAAAATATCTGCAAAGTAAAAACATGATCGTGTAAATCGAAACATGATCGTCTAAATTTGTCGAGGACTTTTTAGCTCAAAATAATGGCCCATCAGTTCCTCGGATACTTACAATCATGTAAGTAGAAAGAAAATAGTGTAACTCGTTTTTCATACAATTTGGACTTAATTCTTCGGTTAAAGCAACTTTCATCCACTCCCCAACTTCATTAAGTAATTCCCTACTACGGGTATGCTCCTATGCTTCCTTAAGGTCATCCTTAAATCTTAGTATTCTCGTCCCAGTCCAATTTAGCCTCAGAAACATATCAAAAGTACAGGGCATTCTACAAATAAAACAATACATACACATTTTATCGAAATAGAAAAAGGAAATCACCACAACCTTGTAAGATAATCGTAATAAAAATGTGCTAAAAGATACATATATAATGCCTCTAAACAATGTTTGAACTAATTCTTATATAATAAACATATGGACCTATGGGAAAACTTGGTTTTCAAAAAACTAGATGACTAGACATTTCTCTTCTGCCAAAACTTCTCCTCACTTCTCTACTACATGCGACCTTTGTTCAACATCAACCCCTGTTCTCAGAACCACTATTATCTTAACTTTAATCTTGGAACCGTAATCTATGTTCTAAACAACAAAAAATCTTCTCTGAACCGCAACCTCTATTATAGAAACCTATATCCTTGGAACCTCTATTCTCGAAACCTTTATCCTTGGAACCTCTATTCTCAGAACCTATATCCTTGGAACCTTGATTTTCATATCAGACATCACATCTCAACAATCTCCCACTTGGAGGCTGACCGAAACTTTGTTTCCGTCCAAACAACATAACCTCTATATCATTCTCTATAGTCCTCAGCTACCGGAAGGCTAGTTGATGCTATGCATAACTTCATTTTTTTTTTCACCACCTTCATATACATGTATGCATGAATAATAAGGACTCAAATCTTTTTTACACTAAACACTGGTTCCTTCTGTAACATCCGGATTTTTACCAGGTATAATAAAAGTTTAATTATGTTATTTTGTAAGAGGGACTCGGCGAGTCGGGGCTCAGACTCGCCGAGTAGAGACGCGGGATTGAGCGAAGGTGCGCGCTTGGACTCGGCGAGTCTGCGCTGTGTAGTGAAACCCTAAATCTCCGGGTTTGTGGCCTATTTAAAGGGCCTTATGGCCGTCATTTGCGCTCATCCAACCCCCAGAGTGTGTCCCTAGAGTTCTTGAGCGTTTGGTGAAGGATTGAAAGCAAATCTTGACCTTGTGAGTGTTGTTTAGCAAGAAGAAGGAGGCTCTAGGCAAGAGGAAGCAAAGGAGGTTGCTATTTCGTGGATTTGGAGCTTGGATCATCACTCTAGAGGTATGATTTTCGGACCATTTCCTGTTTGGTGAAACTTGATGCAAGTTAGGGCTTAATATGATCATTTATGGGGTGATTTGGTGCCCTTTTGTCCCCTCTTTGAGTTGAGACCATGGATCTGGATCCATAGAGGTCCAGAGGGCCTCACTCATCAAGCTTTATGGGTGAAAATGGAGTCCTTGGCCTTGTGTTGAAGTAATAGAGTCAAAATCATATTTGTGATCATGTAGAGGTTATTTATGCATCAAGATTGTGACTTTA